TGCACCTGGGTTTGGAATCATGGGTCTTGAAGATTTAAGATTGGAGAGACCAGGTTAAAGGTTGCTGAAGAAGAGCCACCACACTGTCAAGAGAATGGGACTCCCCTTTATGCTATGGACCATGTGTTCTTAGTTCTACGTAAACAACTCCCCTATATAAGCCAGTGGTTGAGGTTGGTCTGGAGGGTGACTCTTTTTGGCTTCGAATCCTCTCACAGGCAAACTGCGGTGTCTGAGATGATGTACTTGTACCAAAATGACGAGATAATTCTGAGAAAACTCTGTTGCTGAGGTGAAAATCCCAAGAGATCGGCAGTTTCAGAACTATTCAAATTAGCCTGCCATGCACCAACAGTCAGGCCAGAATCATGATATCACATTGTTCCCCGTTCTGATGTTTGAGGTGAACAGCTGACCAATGCTTTATACCAGGGGTGTCCAATCCTGGTCCTCGAGGGCCACAGTCCTGCAAGTTTTAGATGTTTCCTTCTTCCAACACACCTGATTCAATGATCAGTTCATCATCAAGCTCTGCAGAAGCCTGATAACGATCCTGATCATTTGAATCAGATGTGTTGGAAGCGGGAAACATCTAAAACATGCAGGACTGTGGCCCTCGACGACTAGGATTGGACACCCCTGCTTTATACACTGCCCTGCTGCCACGTGATTGGCTAATAGGATAGTTTCATGAATAAGCAGGAGTATAAAGTGCTCCCTTATTAGTGAGCAAAATGTACCTTTTTAACTCAACCATATTTTCTGTCTCCTGTGCTTGCAGGACACCATCAGACCAATCTAGTGATTAGTGCTCATCATGTGAGAGGCGAGCGTTTGTTGGAGGCGCACCTGAGGACGTGTCGACTGGGTCAGTGTGTCCAGCATTCGCTCCACGATGACATCGTGCCAAATCAGCGCCAGCCCTCCGTGATACTGCACGGCGGCGGGGATCACCCATCTGTAGAGAGCGTACAGGAGAGCTGCTCCACCGGTGCAACTGTAAAGAAGAGTCAGCCACATCCTGCAACCAAGACAGACGCACTCAGTGTAGTGTGTGGTGCTGCATTTATGGAAAAGAGGCTGTGATAAATGAACCACAGACACAGTGCAATAACAACACATCTGCATGAGATAAATGAAAGCTCTCATGTCTCCCCTCAGCCTCCCTCTCCCTTTGTGTAGAGCTAATGAGATGGGTGTTTACTATGCAGCGTACAGTGCTGATACCGCTCCTATTCTCACTATCAGCCACTGATGCTGCCATGTCCACGCCGCACACCCACACACAACTCAATATGATGATATCACTGTAGGATATCATTTAATATCTTCTGCAATAACACCGCCACAACACACAACACGGCGCTTTGTGTGCAGCTTTCCCACTCTCAGGAGCAATTACTCTGTGAAGATATCTCGAGCACAGATGAAATGAGGGAGAATAGAGCAGAAAAAGAGGAGAAAAGCACAGCCTGAATCCTAAACAAGAGCTCCTTCTGTGGGAAAGCAGTGAAGAGCATGGCTGGAAACGACTCCACCTTGCACTAATAATGCAACTGTGAAAGACCAATGGTGGTTGAGGTAATTCCTTGTGATCTGGAGTTTGAGTTGCATGGCAACTGGCTGGAGGTTAAGAGCTGTGTCACAAAAGCCAGAGCACTGGGATTTTAACCTTTCCTTTAGCTTCTTCCTAAGAAACAACAACAGATCCAGTAACTGGAAATGCAGAATAGTCTTGGCATGGCTGCATAAACACACACACTTACATCTTTTACCATTATGTAGACACACAGCAGCACAACACCAAGTCACATGTTGTGCATACTGAACTCAATCGCAGGTCAATTTACATCATAAAAAGTTCTCCAATAAGAGCACAGAAAGGACAATAAGACTGTTTAAGGTTATCAACATATGAAAAACCTGTTTGTTATTGAAGATTTAATGCAGCCTTTGTTGCAAAAAAAAAAAAAAGCCACAACTGGAGCATCACTGCATACTCAGTTTAAATCTTATCTTTGTTCTTCCTCAGTTTGACAAGAGCACACTCTGCAGTCCAAGGCAGGATTTAAAACCAGGCTGAGCTGTGATCCCCTTTTAGCAGCACAGGAGCAAAGTCTTCTCTGGAATAATACAATCAGCTTATGCATTCTTAGAGGATGTCTCATTAAAATCAAACAGAAAATAAGACTTACATGTGCAGATGTTTGCTTCCTGTCCTCCTGTTCTCACCGCCTCTCGCTGCTGGATGAAAATCTGTGAGTTTTTCTAACAGCCGGACATATGCCTATATGAGTCTAACTCCTCCCTCCTCTTCTTTCCATCCCCCTACTCAGAGCTGAGCTGAATGTGAGCATGCAAGGAATGTCCAACAGACCTAATCTCAACGGTCCACGCACACACAAACAGCGACACACAGAGGGAGTGATTCCTGTTTGGCATTTAATGGTTTATTAGGGTTAAATCTGAATTCTCCTGCAGCCACTGATGTTCATTATTTCCTATTTCTGCTGATATTTTAGAGAGCAATTCCAACATCTAAGAACCTCATTTCCATTTTGATAACATTTTCACCTTTATCTTCAAAAGCAAAATGTCACAGATTGATGTTTTTTTGTTTTTTTTTTTAAATCCTGTAGTGACCATCACAGTAACCCTTCAGGTTGACACATGAGCTGTCCGTCGCCTCAGACTGGTTCACAGCTACCTTTAGACACAAATGGAGCTTGATTTATTTGTCATAGGAATAAAAATAAAATGCAATCTTATGTCCGCTTATTGAAATTCGCAAACTTCGTAATCTTGTTTGGAGGCACTTTTTCAGTAAGACAAAGCCTGTCTTTGGTCGTTGCTGTGCCTGAATTAAACAGCCATTCAAACAATGAAAGACCAAGGAACAAACCGAAGTGGGAAAAGGCTCCTGGTCAGGCAAATAAATATTAATGAGAGCTGTACTCATGATGCCAGCACCAGACTACTCCCACAGCTGACCAAGTCCCATGTCGCAGAGATAATCCACAGCACTGATTTAGAGTCAGCGTGTCTAGGAGGTGATCCAGGGGTGGTTCAGACACTCGGCAGCTGTGGCTCTTTTCTCTGGCAGAAGCTCCAACATGGTCAAAAGAAACGAGCTGAACTGGGCAGCTTCCTCTCGCGGCCACTCGTACTTATCCAGCAGGATCTCAAACAGGCTCCATGATTTCAGCCGTGAGATGTGTCGCAGTTGTCCTGGAGAAAAGAAAAAGGTCGACTGATGCAGCAGGTTGCCTTTATGGGTGAGAGGGCTTTTTAATGAAATATAAGCACAGTGTAATAATAAACGACACTGAGGAATTACTCTATGTGACTTTACCTTTACGGCTGAAGAATCGTTTGGAGTTTCTCCCTGAGAGGGCAAACTGGGATGGAAGAGGTCCCAGCAGCTCAATGATGTGGGCGATGTGATCTGAGACAACATGGGCAGATCCTGTGTTGTAAGTACATTAATTAAAATCCAGGATAAAAAGGGCTTTGCTGTAAACAACACAAACCTTCCTCCCGGGAAAATGTGGCTCCTGCCTGAGGGTCGAACAAGTAGTCTCCAGTGGCCAGCTCAAAGGCCTGGGTACGCACAAAGTGACAAACATAAAACTGGTTGCCACGCATCTATAAATGGCACTGCTTGAATGAAAAGTGTTTTTAAAAGGAGAGACGCAGAATAGTTTTGTCAGAACTACACATCTATGCGGGAGCTCGGCTCACCATGCAGGCAGTGCTCCAGATGTCAGCTGGTGTGTTGTAGTCGGCACCAATCAGGACCTCCACAGAGCGGTACTGACACGTCTGGATGTCTTCAGTGAAGTGCTTGTGCTGAGAAAGATTAGATATGACAAAACTTTATTAATCCCAGAGGAAATTCTGTTGGCAGATATTGCTCAAAAAACACGAAATTACATAAAATAAGAAGTGCAGCGCCTAAAAAGTAGAAAAGCAATACGCTGTAAGTATGATACAATACTGAAATAAGTAAGTTAAAGCAAGGCGAGAAAACTGAAAAGTAATGCTGGCAATTACTAGTAATATTGCACATCATAATGAAATATTGCACCTGAAAAATTAGATGAAAAGGAAAATGAATGACTGTTGTAACTCAAAGAGAATCCAACAGTTTTGTTGGGTTTCTCTCTGTAATTTTGTAAAGTCGTCACCAAACTATGTGATGTGCATTTAGATGACATATGTTGTGAATGCCCTGTCCGGGGTGTCCCCTGCCTTTGCCCTTAGTCAGCTGAGATAAGCTCCAGCACCCCCACGACCCCAGTGAGGATTAAGCGGTGTATAGATAATGGATGGATGGGTGGATTATTTAGGGGCTACAAGGTGGTGGTTAGCACCGTTGCCTCGTAGCAAGAAGTTCGGCAGTTTGCATCCCGGTGAGGACACCCAGGATCTTTCTGCGTGGAGTTTGCATGTTCTCCCCGTGCAGCGTGGGTTCTCTTCGGGTTCTCCGGGTTCCTCTCACAAGTCCAAAAACATGTTGAGGTTAATTGGTGATTCTAAATTGTCCGTAGGTGTGAATGTGAGTGTGCTTGGTTGTCTGTCTCTAAGTGTAGCCCTGTGATAGACTGGTGACCTGTCCAGGGTGTCCCCTGCCTTCGCCCTGAGTCAGCTGGGATAGACTCCAGCCCCCCACGACCCTAATGAGGATTAAGCGGTGTATAGATAATGGATGGATGTTGTAAATCACTGCTATATGAATTACAAAATTACAGACTTTTTACACGGTACACATATGATTGTTTGAGCCACAGCTACATTATTATCTTAATAATTAGTATACATAGTACACAGCCTTTAATGACTGCATAACTTAGCTGATTAAAATATATTTCCAAGAACAAGACTAAAAGTCTGCAGCCATGCTCAGGCCGCCTCTGGTGTGTTGAGCTTCATGCAAATGTTGGTTTGCCAACAAGCTTGCAAACAGCAATGCTTTCATATTAACCTGTTTCATTATCTTGGCTTAGCATATTAGCAAACAGGTCTGTTATTTAGTCATAAATTAATAATGTTAGATGGTCATCAAAGTTATTACATTTCTGAGGAGTTACTAATTGCATGGCGATAGCTGTGAAGTAATTCAGTCTGGGCCACTTTAGAAATCCCCGGAGCCAGGCTGCTGGCTGTAATGGTTCTAAGTGGGACATATTATGCTCATATGCGGCTCTGTAGTTTTATTCTGGTACTCCAATGAAGTCGCTTTGCATGATTCACAGTTTTTAAAAACAATCCTTATTTGTCTCATAGCACCCTGTTATGCAGCCCCTTCATTTAGCATTTGGCTCTTTACGGATGTCCTCCATAAAAACCTGCTGTCTTCTGACTGTTAGCATTCACTGCAGTGTGGAAGTTCTATCAGCAAACTGTATGTGACTAGCATATTTCCTTGTACTTGATTGGAAATTGCAGCTTCTCTCAGCCAATTTCCAGCTCGAATCCAATCTAGAATATGAGCAGATGTGTTGGCCAACGAAGATTACAGCAGGACATCTCTGTTTGGTAAACATTACACTCATTACCTGCTTACTGTGTGTTGCGACAATGGATTTAGTCTCTCCATCACATGCATTATAAAAAGAAAATTGATGTGTACGAGAGGGGAAATGAACTGAAATTCTGACTGAAGTGGAAAACGTCAGGAAATATTAAATAGAACAACAGAAAATAGGCTGTTTTTTCTAGAATGTGTACATAATATGTAGATCTGTGAACTGCACACTGAATTAAAGAAACAAAACAGAAATCCGCCATGACTTGACATCACCTTGTTGCAAAACTAGAAAAGCTCTGGAAACCTGGTGTTGGGAGCAGTCTGAAGCCTACACAAGCTTCCGGCTCACGGGAATTACTCCTACAATCATGTGGCTGTTTGAAACTTTTGTCCTGTTTAATATTAACATCAAATATCAAAACATCATGACAGAAAACTAGAAAAGCACGAAAGGGCCCTTTTAAAATGTCTCTCTGGCATCAGTGAGCGTAACATCTTTGTCTCATTTTTTTCTGACAAATCAAGTGCAAAGCCAAACAAGTATGACTGGGTGATGTATTGCATAACATTATACCAAACATGTCTCTCAGCAGCATCTCATATTGGCCCACACAGTCCTGTCTCTTGTCACTGGAAGCATATGGCAGCTGTGTGTTTCTAACTGGAGGAGCTATCATACTGCACACCTGTCGCACTGAGCTGTGTAAATATGCAGGAAGCATTTATACACTAAACATGAGGCTATGTATAAAACCCTTTGCTTCAAAGTTCTGACAATGTGTGATGTAAAGGCAACATTGCAATTTCTTCCTCTCATTTAGGACATATTTTTCACAATAAGCTCCAAGCATTCCCCACTAAACACATTTTTTTGCATTTGTGTTTTTTGCTGCATGCTTTTTCATCACAGAACTCAGATAATATTCACTCATATCATTCATTTGATGCTGTTATTTCCAAAGCAGTGTTTCTGTATTTGGTTGCCAGATCCATAAAAGTGAACAGAGACAGAAATCCAAAGCACAGACGGCACAGACCATTGAGCAAAATTTGACAGCATAATACATTTAAATGTTATAATTGTCTGATTTGTGATTCAACTATGTCCAAATTTCAACTGAAAATGATTCTACCATCAAGGTAAATTATGTATAATGTGGGATTATTGAGTCACCGAAGACTTTCTTCTAGTTGAAGATGAAAGTATTCAGTTGTAATTTTAGAATTTTTCAGGTTTAGTTTTGCTTGTTGACTCACCACCCAGCAGGCGTTTCCCAGGTCAGCAATCTTTATGAGGATTTTGTCAGCATTCTGAGGCTTCAGCAGGTCCAGAAGTCCATCTGAGTCACTGACGCCTAAAATGCATTAATAGAATTTAACAGCTTAAAGGATCAGACTCAGGTAAGCTTTAGCGCAGTTATGGTTGAGGTCACATATTGGCTTATGCAAATAAATCAACCAACGTAGAGATTTGTGCCAAAATGTAAGCAATAATAAGTGATAGCATCAAAGTTTAAAAACAAAATCCCGAGACTGACCACGAGGAGAGGACGGGGAAGATGGAGGAGGCTGTTTGTCTGCAGTCGGATGTAATATTCTGGAGCCGGAGACAGGAGCATCTGTGGTGAGGTGTAACCACGAGCAGATGGAGGCTCTGTGGCTGCGTGGATCTGAGTCCACTCCGTCTTCCCACAGCAGAGTCTGTCTCCTTAACTTGAGGTTGGGGCCTGTGAGCTTGGAGTGACAAGTGGAGCTTTGGGTGGTGGAGGTAGCAGCGACATCGGACGACAACGTGTTGGGTTTGTCTCGTTTGTGGTCAGATGCACTCTCCTGTGCTCGTCGACTTCTGTCTTTCCTCGTCAGGCGCTTAATTGGACTCTTGGGGACCTTGCTGGACTGCAGGGGACAGTCACAGTGAGCATGGAATAAGTAAAATAATCTGAAATCTGTGAATCATCACATCTTCATGCCTGTTTTGGAAGTGCAGTAAATCATGCAAAAATAATGATATGAAGAGTTCATTTGCAAAAACAGATCACTTAATCTTCACAAACCTTCAGAAAATCCACTTTTCCATCGTCTACCTGAGACAATATCAATCAAACTTAAGCTATCTCTATTTTTGTCATTTCTACAGTGTCAGATCCACTCAACTTCAGTTTGATTGATATTATCTCAAACAACAAAAAATACGTTTTCTGAAAATCTCCAAAAATGGAGTTATCTGTTATTGCAAATGAACTCTTCATATATTGAAAATGTTTGTCTATATGGTATTTCATTATTACTTTATTTGAAATTGTGACCAATCACAATGAAAGCATTTAGCATTACTTCAGTTTATATACAGTATCTATAATAGTAAATCCTGGCATTTTGAAGTTGCCCTGCATACAGGGGCAGGTTGCTAACAACAAACTATAATGAAACGACAGCAGCAGCTGTTGGAAGGACATCAAAATCCACAGCTGTGTCCTCTTACACAGACCTGAGGCAAGCAGACACTCGACTTAAGAGTGCAGCAAAGAGGAGCGTGACAATATGAAAAATATAACGCCGTTTTGTTTCAGTGCTTCTTGCTGCTTACAGCAAGATGTCTGCTTTGATATATAGGAGCTGTCCCCTAATAAATACACAGTAACCAGCTTTCCACTTGCAGAGAGGAGCCAGACATGCTCTTATATGAAAAATAAAGCACATTAACTTTGTGCTGCAAACTCCTCAATGCTGTTCACGGATCCACTGCCTCTTTAGGATGTGATATGATGAGGAAAGCATGAAGAATGACTTGAGCAGACAGTTGTTTTGGTGTAAATACAAGATTTCCATTTCCTTACAGATCCCTATTAAAGCAATATGAGTGCCCTACAATAACTGATGATGTACTGTAGATCCTGTAAATACAAACATGTATAGTTTTTGACTCAGTTAAAAAAACAAAAACACCTAGCATCAAATAATACCAGACTGTGTCACCTTATTGATGTGGTGGCTACAAAAACCATTAACAAGAATGACATCATACTGCTGGTAATAATACAGACTACTTAATGAATAGGTTTAGGAATAAAATCCTTCCTTCTTAAGCATCAGACTATTCACATGGATCACAGTTATATCAAACATGTCAGCAGAAATGTCAATATAGCGTGTGTTTACTGAAACCAAGTGTTTCACATGCTGTCTTCCAAGCTGTAGGTGTGGTCAAGATGCAATTTAGAGCAGCAGTGTGAAAGCAGAGCATCCATCTTACCCACTCCCCAAGAGTGTGGAAAACCCCAGTCAGCTTCCCCAATAAGCTGGACAAACTCTGAGGAAATAATATGAGAAATGCAACAGTCATGATGAAGTCGTAGCAGAATACAAACTACTAATAACATAATTAATAATAATGCATTTTAGGTTGCACACCTGTTTTTCTCTGGAGCTTGTGTTCCCTGGCAGGAGGTGAAAACATCAGCAGAGAATGTGAAATATGAAAAATGTAGCAGCGGTTTTCTTGCATTTAATCAAGACCACATACATCAGACCTCCATCAATGATTCCTGTGACACCTTTATAGTTTAACCTAGACAGACGTATCAGTATAAAACCGCTGTGATTGCTAACGTAGCGCCACTAACCTGAGGAGCTGGTGAAGGGAGGCGACACAGGCATCTGCCACAGTTTGGTGTCGGCCGCCAGCTTCTGAATATAAACCTCGTCCACTCTCAGAAGGATGTTTTCTGGCTTGATGTCTGTGTGGATAATCTTGCATTTAGTATGCAAGTAATCTAAACCCTGCAGAACCTGCGATAAGGAACGAAAAGTGAGTCACCGTCATCGCACCTCAAGGAGCAAAAAATAGAAGATAATCTGGTCACAGAAACACCTCAGTCAGGAGTCAAAGACCAGGGGGATGGTTTAACATGTAGGAATAAAGGTCAGCACCTGTCTGAGGATGCTCTTAACGCAGGGCAGAGGGAGGCCTGTGTAGTTGGACTTGATGATCCACCTCAGCATCTGGTGGCCCAGAACCTCCAGGACCATGCACACATCTGGTGAGGAGTTAAGGATTTCATACTGTAGCTTGAGTGTTTAGGTTTTCTTGGGTATTAGGAGAAGGCCAAAATACATTTACAGTCCCATCACAGTGGTACTTGATGGGTTGGGCAGGACCACGAACTGTAAATAAAAGATCAGATGCAGCCTCTGGAACATTTTCCTCACTTTTCAGATTCAGTAGCTTAAATCTGCATTTTCACCAACAGCCAGCAGGGGGCGCCTCCTTGTATTGTAAAAAGAAGTCTGATTGTATAGAAGTATATGAAAATATTTCCCTACTTCTCACTTGATTTGTTCCCTTAGTAGATATTTTCCTACTGGATTTCTGATCTCTATTGCCAGTTTCAGGTCTTCTTCAGTAGACCAGGGTGTTCATTTTATAAATTATTGTTCCATTTAGAGGAAAATAGACAATAAGCAGGCTATACTTTAGGGCGTAGCTACCTTGTTGTCGGTGGTAGTATCCTATACTTAGACAAACTTGTAAACAGAAGAATTAAAGAGCAATACATCACAGAAAAGTCGTCCCTGATCCACAGGTAAAGGATACGCTCTCCATTCACTCCAGAGATCCTGAAATCATCAATGAGATGCACAATTCTCTCACGTTTAGGATCTTTGGGATCGTTTTCCCTTACCTGGAGGGCATATATTAAAGAATATTGTAAAATCAACAACACCTGACTTCATAACATGCTGACTTTTTGATTTAATGAAAATACTTTAAGCAGCAGTGATGGAGCAGTATTGGTGACTGTATAAAGATAACAGTGAATGGGCTACATTTTGCATTTCATACCAGCACACAAAGCCAACACTTTAGCCAGCTCTGTAATAGTGTGTGCGGTACTTTAAAATGATTCAAATCTACTTAAGCTGACATCTAAAAGGAAAAGCCACGTGGTCACACTGACACATTTCAGAAGTTTGATCTCATCCAGTGCCGTCTCTGTGAATGTTTCAGCACTCTTCACCACCTTCAGAGCCACAAAATGCCTCTTCCTGCATGCAAACATTTATGAGTTAGGTTTCGATTTTTATCATGTATTATGACTATATTAGGTTGTTAAGCTATAAATGAGTAGTGAGAAGGTCAGAAATGTACTTACACCATATCCCAGCAGAGCCACACAGTAGAGAAGTGACCCCATCCTAACTTTTTGACCACTTGGTAATGATCGACGAAAATGTCTCCAATCTCCACGGGGTAATAACCACCTGCAATCCAACATATATCAGACATAAACTGATCTCAACCTTGAGTTCGATCTTGCTATCGGGGTCCGGCCTACCTATGCCGTAGTCGGCGGGATTCTCCTGTTGCTCATCATAAGACACCAGAGGCTCAGGTGACTGAGTATGATTCTGTACAGCTGGAGGGCAGTGGAGCTGCTTGCTGGGTTTGGGACTTCCTGTTGTGTCCGGTGTGGGTTGGGAGTCGGGTTTGGCGGGTGGATCAGAGGAGCTGGTTGGAAGCAAAGCCAATATAGCTGCAGCATATGATGACGACATGTTTAACCGGAGCCAGACGAGCACAGCTGAAGATGAGCCAAGATGACACCGGGGAGAAAGCTGCAACAAAAAATACATTTGCATACGTTCAAAAACTGAAGGTGTGGAATCACGCCTGCATCTCTGTCTTGGGCAGTTTGTCTGTGCTTTTCGCTACTGGTTGCAGGAGTGTGTTACTTTGCAATGACATTTTAAAAGAGCCAGCAAATGTGTAGGTTTATTTTTAGCTGGATGGATGGCATGTCAACGTAAATAGCTCCTGACACTCACCGGCCCAGCTGCAACTGAACTTGCACGGACTGTTGCAATGTGGGAGCCGCAGTTGTAAACAGGAACGCCTGGCAATTCTAATTAACTCTTGCTTTCTCACATCTGGGTAGAACAGTTATTTTGTCGAGACAGTTAAGTGATTAAAACCATGAAGCCTAGACTACTCCACTGTACTCAATAACTGGTAAGATTAGATTTGTGTGGCCGTACATTTTAGTAATGGAAGTGTCAAAAGGTATTGATGTCTACCAGAGATAAAGTCATCTGACATCAAATTTAAAATAAAATAAAATAAAATAGAAACATGACAAGTACTTCTTCAAAATAAAAGCTGAACATTTTTAGCTGTACTACATGAGTTTTGGCTAAGAGTCTAATCTTGTTAAATATTTGGGTCACTCCATATAAGATCAACCAAACAACAAAGTTCTCACTTGATCCTCATCAGAATCAGCTGTTTAAAAATAAAAAATAAAAAAAATACAATATACAACATACAATAACTTAATTATATTGAATAAAGCCATGCAAAACTTTACCTTTGCCAACATTAAAAGCTTATTTTGACAGAGGGAATCATGGTTGTAAGATGGTATCGAAATGTAGGTAAAAATGAGACCCTGCATTTTCTACAACTTGTTTTGAACAAACACTTATCCCACATGGTGATATGCCCCATGTGATCCCAATGCTTGTTTGTACTACTTGACGCCACAGACAACAAACTGGTGCAGTTGTGCTACTGAAACTGTGATATATGTAATATGATTTTTATTGTGAAGGTTGGTTACAGAAAAACAAACCTAAACAAAACGTGATTTTGGCTTTAGATTCTGACACCTGGAATAGACGTAAAATTAATTTGGCTACATTTTTTTAACAGATGTGTTTTTAGCATGTGTTTATCTCCTGTACTTATCATGGGGGCTAAATAAAAGCTGGAAATACATTTTTCGATTTCTAGGGTCTTTAACTCAGAAAATATTCATGCTGTATAAATACAATGTTGCATGGTTTCACAGAAAACGCTAAATTTATTGTAGACAGTAAATCAGGTGATTCTGGGGGAGTCAGGTTGGAGGCGCTGAGTATTATTTATATGATAAACTGAGAAGAAATAGCCGTTAGCTTGTTAATCATGACTGGACATGCTGTAAAATAAATAACTATGCTCATGCTGGCATGTTTAGCTTTTTTTCCCCATGAACAATTTACTTAATAAATATTTAAACCTTGTATTCTATCTTTTAGCTTTTATTAATACCATGACTGGTGAAAGTAGGTTTAAAGAGACAGAGACAGGCCTTTCTCACAGCCCAGTGCTGCACACCGAGCTCAACATTCAACTTTCCTCCACAGTGCCTGTTAGTTATATCAGCTTGTATTTCTTGTTTTACAGAATACTAGTTGCCAGTTCTTCAGTAACTCCTGTAACTTTAAGCACAGCTTTACTGAGTGTTTCTGCAGGAGTTCATTCTAGTGCCAGACTAAAACAGTGCACCCAGTAGCTGGTCTTAACAAAACAGAAAGTCAGTCAGACTTTTTTTTTTTTTGGCTTGAAATAAACAGCGAACAACATCCGAGGAGCAGCCCACTCACCCTTCAGTGCGAAGTATCCAGTTTTAATGTTTGTTACGCGGGAAATAGGCCGAGCCTGGCACAAGGACAGCAGAGTGTGAGCCTGCGTGCCCTGCTCCTCAACCTCAGTGACTGACCAGCACTGAGCTCCAGGAATAGCTGCTGCTGCTGCTGCTGCTGCACACTGTTTCTAACTGCATTTATCACCATGTAGCTCCCACTTCTATTTACAGAGGGGGTAAGGAGGTCACTCCCTCATTTAT